TTCGTCTCGGAGTTTGGCTTCCAATCGATGCCGTCGGCGGCGGCGTGGGCGACGGTCACCGACGCAAGCGACTGGGCGACGACCGACGCCATGCACGCGATGCTCGCCTTTCGCCAACGGTCGCCCAACGGCACCGAGCACATCCAACACCAGCTCGACTTGCACTTTGCCTCGTTGCCGACGACTGGATCCGTGGCCGAGCGGCTGCGCGCGTACACGTGGCTCACGCAGGTGCAGCAAGGGCTCTGCTACGCGACGGCCATTGGCACGTGGCGGCGCCTCGGGGCGACCGGCGTGCTCTATTGGCAGCTGAACGACGTCTGGGTGGGTCCGAGCTGGTCGAGCATCGACGTTTATGGGCACTGGAAAGCGCTCCATTCGATGGTCATCGCGCCGTTTGCGCCCCAAGCGATTGTTGTCCACGAAGACACGACCTCGGGAAGTATCTCGGCGACGATCGTGAGCGATGTCAACGCAACCACGACGGTGCGCGTCTCGCTCTATCGCATCTCGGCTGCCGCCATCCCGCTAAAGGTGCTTGATACAACGGTGGCCGTGGATTCCGAGGTGCGTATAGCGTCCGATCGATGGCTGCTACAGAAGGACCGGACCGCGTGGTGCTGCGTAGACGGCGGTGGTGGCGTGGCATGCCAACAACGTAACGGACCTCTTGGCGGTCCACGACTGCAACCGCGCGGCGTGCTTTCTCACGGTCGCCAGCGCATCGGTGGCCGATGAGGTGTATCACTTTTTTCGACCATTCAAGGACCTCCCGCTGCTGCCGGCCGTCGTTGACACGACGGTTGTCGAGGCGAATACGACGTCGTGGTCGTTCCAAGTCTCTTGTACGTCGGGTCACCTTGCCTTGTTTGTGACACTCGAGACCGCAGTCGTCGGGCAGTGGAGTGCAAACGTGATGCACCTGCGCCCAGGGAGCTCGCGTCTTGTGGTATTCTGGCCGGCGACGCCGACGCCACTCGCACCGGTGACGACGACACATCTCTTTGACGCGTACACGCCAACGGCCGACGAGACGAGTGTTGACTAGGACGTTATATAAAAGTATCAAGTCGACACTTCGACATTTTGACACAATCGTCTATTTTTTCTTTTGCTTGGGAGGCTTATTTTAGGCCCGTCTCCCGCTTTTCTTTCTAAGCGCGGCTCTTGTTGACTTGCAGCTCGGCGGCCTTGAACTACGACACTAAGCTAACCCAGACCTATCGTAAGCTGGATACGATGGCCTATACTAAGGACGCTTCAGAGCCAAGCCGAGGCAGCAAGGCAGGTGCAAGTGCACATACTGTATGTACGCGAGCGATGGTACTTGGACTGATATGGATGCAACGACAAAGCAAGGCTGAAGAAGAAGGTGTGATGCGTGTGGACGCGGCCACAAGGCGCAGCGACACACGTTTGGAGGAGATCTGGTGACGTGGCAGCCGGACGACTCATCTTGCTACATTGCCGCATGTCTGCGTCTTCTAATGTGCGGCTTTTTTAGCTTCTTAGTCACTTTCAAGTTGGAACTATTAGCCAGCACCCGCCGCGCTGTATAATATATTCTCAGAGGTGCGTTCACAACGTTGCTGCTCACTTGTCGAAGGGAGCCCTCTTGGCACATGTACGCAGTAGAACTTGATACTCAAACGACAAGCTTTGATTGGCTGAATGAATTGAATTGTACGAATCAAAGCACACCTTGGATACGATTCTAGCCAATGGCATCGCGCGTCCGAAATGGCAATCTCGTTGCGGACGGGGCACACGCCGTAGGAAGCGGCTAGGAAGGACGCCAAGACATAGATGTATGCAGAGCAGGTGACGTTGAGACCGCCGGCGTTGATAGTTGGTCCATGACCATCGACTTTGTCCCGTGCTTGAGCAGTTTGCGTAAGCCTCGTTGTCTTCCCCAGCCCGTTGCAAGCCAACCATGGCATTTTATCGGACGTACATCACGTTCTCTAACCGCAGCCGTGTCTGGTGCCAAGAAAGACCCATTTCTCATACGATTGGTGCGTGTGACGTGCCCCAGCGCGATGGTGGCACCGAGGCACGACGCCACGACAAAACGGCCAAAGACGCGGAAGCAGCTCTGGGGCTAACACTTCTATCCTTGTCTCTTGAAGTGTACGTAACTATAGCATGGTTTCCTCACACGAGCCGACGGATCAAGCCACGTCTCATTAGTAGTGCATATTGTCTTCTAGCACAAGCGAAAAGCAGTTCACATGAGACGATATATATGTATCAAGTCAACAATCGATACGGTATCTACTTTTCTTTTGCTTGGAGAGCTTCTTGTGGCGCTTCTTGACGTGCTTGGGAATCTTGGACGCGCGCTTCTCCCGCTTCTCTTCCTTGACGCGGTTCTTGTTGGCCTTGAGCTCGGCACGCTCGGCGGCCTTGGCCTGTTCGCGGGCTTCGCGGCGCTCCTGCCGGAACGCCATGCGCTGCTTGTACATCTCTTCCGTCTCTTCTTCGTCCGTCTCTTCGTCATCGTCCGAGTCATCGTCATCGTCGTCATCGTCGTCCGAGTCATCATCATCATCGTCGTCGTCGTCAGAGTCGTCGAGCGCATCCATATCGAGCTCGTCGACGTTGAGCAGGTCCATGAGGCGGGGCTGCGACACCTCGAGGCGCGAGATGGCGGCCGACAGCGTCTTCTCCATGCGGCCTTCGGCGTACGCGAGCTGATCGCGCTCCGAGTTGAGCACTTGGCCGAGCGACGACGGGATAAACGTCTGCATGAAGACAGCCTCCTCGACCTGCTGCTCGTTCGTCTTGGTCGTCGGGCGGTCCTCGACCTGCACTTGGATCATATCAAGCATCGCGTCCACCTGCTCGTCGTTGAGCTGCCGGGGGTCCGTGACAAACTCAAAGAGCTCCATCGTTGACATAGGGTCGAGCCCCTACGCAGCACAAAAAGACGTGAAATGCGGCTGTCAACCACCGCGGACGTACGCTCTTTTGGAAGAAATCG